CTCTCACGGCCGAGAGGGTTTCTCTCAGCCGGTGAGAGCGTAACCTCTCAACGGCCGAGAGGGTTTCTCTCGGCCGCTGAGAGTGTAACCTCTCAACGGCCGAGAGGATTCCTCTCAGCCGGTGAGAGTGTAACCTCTCAACAGCCGAGAGGGTTTCTCTCGGCCGCTGAGAGTGTAACCTCTCAACGGCCGAGATTCTCTCGGCCGCTGAGAGGGTTTCTCTTGGCCGCCAAGAGTGTAACCTCTCAACGGCCGGGAGAAATTCTCCCGGCCGTTCCTTTTCTTTTTTTTTCATTGCCGACTCCAAACCCCCATGGGGTTTTGGAGTATCGACTCCCAAAAACCCCCGTGGGGGTTTGAAAAAATAAAAATAATAAGTATCATTTTATTAGGGAGTCAACTCCCAAACCAATCGAAGGGTTTGGAGGTCCGACTCCCAAAAAACGGGGGGAAAAAAAATCAGGGGGCCTGACGTCCGGAGGACCGTCCGCAGACAGTCCTCAGGACGTCCCCAAAATTTGGGAGTCGGAACTCCAAATTTTGGGAGTCGTTTAACTAAGTCCCTTTTTTTATTGTTAAACCTGTTTCATACAAAATTTTACAACCTTTAGCACAAGAGAAAGACCTGCAAAGCAGTAAGTTTGAGTTCTTATTTCAGCAGGTCTGGAAGCCACTCATGCATTGTAAATTTGAATGTTTAGTGAGATGACTCATGTGGGATGAAAAGTGGTGGGGGGGAGATAATATCATTGCAGAGTAAATTCCTGGACCAAAGTCTTATCCATTGTTGGGTGTTCTGATGGCTTGAGGGGCAGAGTCATCACCTTTCCCAAATCATGTGGTATTTCTTGTTAAACATGTCTAATCCAAACTTTTAGCAGGATAGTGGCATCCTCATAATACTATTTCATTTGCTACTCTTACCTTCTAGTTTGGAATCTGTCCTGATGTATACTATACTGGAAAGTTTCATTGCATCCATAACCATTCACCTCTTCTTGATAGCTAAATTTGGTGGATTTGATGAGAATTGGCTAGTTCAAGCTGTTGGGACTGACCAATTTTTTTCCGTCATCAGGGGTAACACACATTCAAAATCTTTGCCTGAGAGGGTTTCTCTCGGCCGCTGAGAGTGTAACCTCTCAACGGCCGAGAGGATTCCTCTCAGCCGGTGAGAGTATAGCCTCTCAACGGCCGAGAGGGTTTCTCTCGGCCGCTGAGAGTGTAACCTCTCAACGGCCAAGAGGGTTTCTCTCGGCCGCTGAGAGTGTAACCTCTCAACGGCCGAGAGGGTTTCTCTCGGCCGCCAAGAGGGTTTCTCTCAACAGCCGGGAGGAATCGTCCCGGCCGTTGAGAGTGCAGCCTGTCAACGGCCGGGAGAAATTCTCCCGGTCATTCCTTTTCTTTTTTTTTCAGCGCCGACTCCAAACCCCCATGGGGTTTTGGAGTATTGACTCCCAAAGACCCCCGAGGGGGTTCAAAAAAAAATAATAAGTATCATTTTATTAGGGAGTCGACTCCCAAACCAATAGAAGGGTTTGGAGGTCCAACTCCCAAAAAACGGGGGGGGGAAAAAAAAATTAGGGGGCCTGACGTCCGGAGGACCGTCCACAGACAGTCCTCAGGACGTCCCCAAAATTTGGGAGTCGGAACTCCAAATTTTGGGAGTCGTTTAACTAAGTCCCTTTTTTTATTGTTAAACCTGTTTCATACGAAATTTTACAACCTTTAGCACAAGAGAAAGACCCGCAAAGCAGTAAGTTTGAGTTCTTATTTCAGCAGGTCTGGAAGCCACTCATGCATTGTAAATTTGAATGTTTAGTGAGATGACTCATGTGGGATGAAAAGTGGTGGGGGGGGGAGATAATATCATTGCAGAGTAAATTCCTGGACCAAAGTCTTATCCATTGTTGGGTGTTCTGTTGGCTTGAGGGGCAGAGTCATCACCTTTCCCAAATCATGTGGTATTTCTTGTTAAACATGTTTCATGCAAACTTTTAGCAGGATAGGGACATCCTCATAATACTATTTCATTTGCTACAGTACTCTTACCTTCTAGTTTGGAATCTGTCCTGATGTATACTATACTGGAAAGTTTCATTGCATCCATAACCATTCATTGAGGATTGCCGATAGAAAGAGGCGGTCTAAGTCCATGGGGCCCTGGCACGCGTGACGACCACACCACAGTCACGAACCAGCCAGACCCTTGACTGAAGCGGGCGTTAGCTAACCAAGCCCTCGACCAGAGCGGTCGGCAGCTAAAGCCACGGCAACGACGACCCTGCCGACGAATCATCAAGGAATGGCTCATAAGAGGCCTCCCTCTCCGTGACTGCCCTTCTCCCTCACCCGCTATCCTATCTCGTCACCGCACCCCAATCACTTAACCCTTAAAATTTTCAGATCCTCCCACCCACCCTGGGTCTAGCAATGGCTTACAAAACCCCTTCTTCCCTTGATTCTGTCTCAAAGATCTCTCATCATAGAAGGAGGCTCCTTTAGGGCTTGTAAAAAATCTAAAGCCAAAAAGGCCTCAAATGATGAGACATTCTTCTACAACCCATACACTGGGTGTCTTGAAGCCCCCGGAAAGCTTGGGACACCCTAGGGGATAAGCATCCCCGAAAATGTACAGTTAAGTGAAGGGGTGAATTGACCTCTTCTTGATAGCTAAATTTGGTGGATTTGATGAGAATCGGCTAGTTCAAGCTGTTCGGACTGACCAATTTTTTTTCCGTCATCAGGGGTAACACACATTCAAAAGCTTTGCCTTATCTGTTCATGATTCATGTGTTAATTCCTGGTTCATAAGCTTCAATTGTTGTCATCTACAAATTCCACATGGGTTGGACACTTGCATTTTGAGTTGATTTTTTTTTTGTAGAAAAAGAGTTGGATCAGTGTTTATAAAAAAGGACTTGGTACTCTTTGTGAGACTTGAATTTTTGGGAAACAAGGAATGAATGCAAATTGTAGCAGGAAGACTGTGTAAGATTACTACTGTGGGGAGCGTCTAGCGAGGGTAGGCATTCTGTAATGACTGATTTGGTGTTTGCAAGTTCAATGAATATGTAAGCTTCCTGTTTCTTGGGTGAGGAACTAGGGTTTTCAAAGACCCATACAATACCAACACTCATCCCATTATTAAAATTAGAAATACACTCTTGTAAGAATATGTAACCTCATTTCATTTCTTTTTCTCTTTGTTCTTCTGTTCTGTTTCATTTCGGTACTTTTGTTTAGTGCGGAAAGGAAAAGAGTAATTCCGATGATCAATCATAGCAAAACGAGACCCGAGATGAGACTAGGAGATGAAACGACGAGCACGGAGACAGAGAGAGAGAGAGGCAGACAAAAGCAAAACAAAAACCCAGCAAACGAAGATAGAGAACCAACAAAAAAAGTCAAGACAACGATATTCTAGATAGAAGAAGAAAGAGAGGGAGGTGTGCAGATCCTAATTCGCAGGATGTGATTTTGTTTTTGTGAAAAAAAATTCATGGTGTTGATAGTGTAGGCACTGGTTGTTGTTGGATGGATGAGTTCCTGGGAACGACTGTAGGATCAATGGCTCGATGGGGGTCCATGAATTGCTTCACTAATTCATCCGATACCTGTTTCTTCCTCTAAAAACACATCCCACCAGCATCACCCCAAAAGAAGATCAATTTTCACCGAAACAAAAAAATAACATCCCTTTGTTCGAAATTAAGACAGGGAAATGCAAAAAACGAACCTCTTGAAAGTCAGCAACCATCTTTTGTAAGGTCTCAATACAGATCGCTTTAATTTCTCCTGTCAACAATTCTCCAGACTCGTATTGAGTCTTGATTTTCTCCAATTTTTCATCGGATTCTTCAAAGAATGAAAGGTACTATTTTTTGAAAGAAAGAAGATGAGAGAATGAGCTGAAGAAAAATGAAGACGAGAAGGGAAGGGAAGGAAAGTAGGGGGGGAGAGATCTTATGAGGTTGACGAACCTGGTAAGGAACATCGACGTCGGTTCTTCCTCCTTCCTTCCGATGTTCTTCGATAGTTGCTTTACCGCCCGAGAAGGCATACTTATTGATTTTAGTTTTAATCTGTTTAGGCGAGTCTGACATGAAGATAGCCGAGCTATCGACGGAACTAGACATCTTGCTAGTCGGGCCCTGCAAGGCGGGAAAGAACTTAGAGAGGAGCAGACATGGCTTGGAACGTTTGATCCGACCGGCCACATCCCTCGTCAACCGGAAGTAGGGGTCCTGGTCGATCGCACATGGGATCAAACATGGCACATTCACATTCGTCGAGAAAATCTGTGGGAACGAGCTACTGATCGCTGGCGCCGCTTGGATCGCAACAAAATGCGATTTCCCAATGTTGTCTCTGTAGTAGCAAGTCCGTCAAGTCCCGAAACTCGTTTCAGCAGGCTTTTCCCCTATCGTTTGCCAGTGGTTATCAAGACATAATTTGTGGAATGAATACGCAACGTGTCGGTAAAGCCAAAGGTAGCTTTGCTCTGATTATAGGTGATTGCTCGAGAGATCTGTAGAACGTTTTTATAGAATGCGCCTCTGTAACGTTGCAAAGAATGATTCAGCGTAAGTAGCCGGCAATTCCCAGGCAAAGAACATGAGTATTGATGGTTAAGTTTAAGAATGAATTACCCCATGTAATCTAAATCAGAAAAGATGAACGTCTTCTCGAGTTTGAATCCACAAGCGATGATGTCCCTTGCGTTTTCGAAAGCGTATTTATGGCAGTCTTCCAACGACAAGTTAGACTTGAACAGGAATTTTTCATCATCTGTAGCAATGTCCCAGATATCAGATCAATCTGAAGTCAGTGTTGAAATGAAGATGTTAATAAACGAACCTGTCAATTGGATTACTAATGGCACATCAAAAACCTCTTGAAGCCACCTGTGATTTTTTTATTGAAGGGGGATGAGCATTGGGAGGGAGCGATTGGGCTCAGAGTATAGGAAACTCAAATAGCACCAACTGAGTCACGATAAATGGGACCATGTGTCCAAGATGCATGCTTCCGGTGGAAGGTCCTCTGCCGGTGTACAAGTAGAACGGTTTGCCTTGCTCGTAGAGATTAAGAATTACATCCAAATCCCTGTGATCAACATTGTGGATTTGAATGGGATCAAACTGAGTTTTTCAAAAGACAGATCGTCGTATGAGGGGTATGAATGGGCCATGACGAACCGATGAGAGAAAAACATGCCCCTTTTGAGTAAGGGGTGTAACTTGCGCTGGGTGAGGTTTTCGAAACGTTCTAACTGCTGAGGAGTGATAGCTTTGGTCCCGAACTGTTCGATGAGCTTATTGTAATCAATCTCCATCTGTACGCCATCGACCACAGCACCCTTGACGTCCCAAGGGTCGACGACTTGTGCTTGATCGACATTGATGGTGGGTGCCAGGATGGGTGATGGTTGGTTGGGTGTTGGACAGTATTCGGTCTTAGGAGTCAGACAAGGGTTTCCAAATTCGTCGGTCCGCGGGCTAGAGATGAGTATGCGTAGTGCTACAGTAAGCGGTGTGTCCCTCCACTCAGGATTTGAATAGGATTAGTAGCTGACAATGGACCCGGTGTCGCAACCCCATCCGCCCTCAGATTCGCTCGCATTAACATTTCAGGGGCTGGAAGGTTGAGACTGGCCAATGAGGCCTGTAATGCTTCGGTTTGGTACTTCCGATCGGTCTCAGATTCATGCGAAACCAGAACTGTGGAGAGAGAGAGAGAGAGAGTCACAATTAATGAGGCCACTCTACAAGATACGCAACCGGCAGGCGCTGCTTCTAGGAGGTTTGTTTTGATTTGGAATCGACTTACCTTCTGGGTCAGACATGTCCATGCTCGACAGCTTGACATCTCGCTCGCCAATGACCTTTCGATCTTGTTCTTGTAACTGTAACTTGGTGATTACTGATGGTTCGGGCAGTTCGAGTGATGATAGTTGATCTGATACTGATTGCAGTTGTCGTTCGTTCTTGATCTCATGTGCTGGGTCATGGATGATGGTCATGATGATATGTGGGTGCTTGGTTTTCGTTGGTTGGTTGGGTTGGTTGGGTTGGTGGTCAAGTGGGAAGTGGTCAAGAAGAATTGGCGGGCCTGCATACAGCCAACCCACTGCTTACATAATCATCATATTCATCACGATTTCCCTATGTAGTGCTTGGGAAATGACCTCCATAATCCATTCACCAGACTGTTAACTGTGTACATATCCCTAACAAGACAAGCAAGAATATTTTTCCTCTCTCTCTCACCCCTCTCCTCTGGGACTAGAAAATCTTGGAGTGAGGCTAGCTGATGCAATTTCAACCAAATTATTGAAATCACTCTCATTATATATGTGTTTAATCATCCCTTATTGTTCAGGCCAACCTTCGTGATTTTTCAAATGAACCCCTTTTCTTGGTGTTCATTAAATCTCACCTGCCAGTGGCCATATACTGCTCAGAGGATGGTTGATGATGAAAGTGCTGATGATGAGTGCTAATGGAATATCTTTCCCTCATTCTCTAAGGTGCTCTTTTCAATTTGGTGGATCTATCATTCCACATATCAATAAAAAGTAGATCTTAAGCAGAAACTACAATTCAAATCTGATGGTTCAAAACTAGTATGAAAATTGTTGCAGTGATGTGGTGGATCCTTAATAAACAATCCAGACTGAGGACAAGCCCTAATGCGTATTTGAGCAAGTTGAGTCTTTCCAGAGAGGTGGGCCCCGTAGGGTCACTTTCTCATAGAGATTAAGATGTTATGAGCTCTTCCCCAAGAAGGTAAGGCTTTTGTCTTGATCGAATGGAACGCGGACAAATCCACCTGAGGCATTTTGCTCCGCAAGAGACTATGTACCTCGGCTTGTTGCCAGTTTGCTCGCTATGGATTTGATCATCAAGCCACCGGCGCTATCACAAATTGCCGTGGAAAGCCAAGCTGTTGTGAGTAGGAGCTAGCAAACAACAGTTCCGTATCTCAAACAGTGGCCCATGTCCTTGCAGGGCTGTCGGCTTGAGGGGATTATCTTAGACTCTGGATGCACTTGTTAACTAGAAACAGAAATATAACAAAGTTTACAAGGTGTGGTTTCCCTCACATCAAAATTTACATTTATCTAGAAAATGCAGATGAACAGTTGTGTTCATATGCTATGGTCAAGCCCGCTTTACAAATGCGAAAGTTGTTGGATGAACTGGACAATGGAAGAACTTTTTGTGGTGTGCCTCGGTCCACGAAAAAAACAGATTAGCCAACTTTTGTGATTTCGAGTCGCATAGTAGTGATCATACACCTCAGACTCCGGTGAGGGAACATGACAGACTGTGGAATTTAAAATCAGAATCAGCAATCATCCAAGAAAGAGCAGGCAAGTAAATCTGATGAATCCCTGCAAAAGCCAAGATAATAGGGATATATAGCACTCACAGGGGTGTGTTTTTGGTGAATCATTAGGCCCTCCTGTGTGGCAGTCCTTGGTGTCACATTTGTATTCCAATCCCCCGTAGTTCAAGCAATCTAGGAGTAGTTACCAATTTTGTGAAAAAAATTGGGAGGTGGGAGAATTAGGGGGTATCAAATGTAACCAAATCCACCAATATTATTTAATTGAATGGTTTTAAAAAATCCACCCTTTTTTAAACATATTGGTTCTTCATTTAACCCCTTTTGGGACCCATTGGTGCAAAAAAAAGTTTTGGGAAAAGTGACTGGTTTCTAATGGTGGATTTCTTATATTTGATACCCCCTAAGGGAATTGAAATATGCAGGTCCTCAGAACTAATTACTGGCTTTGTGATGAAAAACAGGAATTACAATTGACACTAGAACCAGAACTTTTAACAATCATAAGGAAAAACAAGTGTTAGAGTTTTTAGATATCAGAAATGACAAGAAAGAAAGAGTAACAATCAGTAGAAGAATTTAAGAAGAGAAATTTACCACAAATAGATTTGTCTTTTGATTTAGACAGAACAGAAATGCTTTAATATATAAGATCAAACAATGACAGATAGTACACACTATTTTTGATAGAAACAGAAGACACATAAGACAGAAAAAGGTCAATGTTTTAGTCAAGAGAATATGAGAGAAAGTTGGATGAGTTATTTTCTCACCAAATTGGCAATAGGCAAAGGAGTATGTCAAGAGAGACAGTCGGTGGGATAAAGAGAAGTGGATGATGAGTTGTTGATGAGAGGATGAGTAGACGTCGCCGATGCGAGTGAGCAAGAAGGGATAGTAAGGAAAGAAGATAGAGAACAAGAGAGGAAAAAAAGGAGTCGGAGGAAAATGAAGAAGGGAATTGTAGATGGTCGGAGAGTGAGAAGTGTTGAGGGTGATAGGCCAAGCAGTTGAGGCAGAGGGAGTAGCTTGATGGATATTCAATGTGATCAGATGTCAATGTCAAAGACTGCTGAGGAAGAGGATGTGAGCGATGCAAGACTTGAGTGGTCTTTTATAGTCAGTGGTGGATGGTTTGACTTGTGGTTGAGTGTTGCTGAGAGGTTAGGTTAACTTGTCAGTCGTGAGGCTTTGACATATTTTGAAGAAGGCTTCCAACGAGTTGGATGAAGAGGAAAGGGAGGAGATGCTGTGAGAGAAAGTGAGAAGAAAAGGGAAGAATTGAGAAGAAAAGGTTGAGAGAGAGAGGAGAGAGAGAATGAGGAGCGGATAGAGAGAGAGCAGAGAGAGCGGGAAGCGGAGGGAAATTCCAACACTTTGTCGCGGGGTCTGCTGACAAGGAAATGCTGGCCGCACTGTTGGGAAGCGGAGGTACCCTTTGCTCTTTGTGAAAGGGAATGTCAGCGCGGCTCTGAAAGTTGAACATAGGAGAAGAGAGCCAGAGCAATGGCTGCATGGATGATGTAAAATCTGTGAATCAAATTCAAGCTGAAGAGGACTTCCTGTCACAATGTAGAGTGCTTTTTAGACCTCTCTCAGTCTTAAATTAAGAACACAATTAAGATTACAACCAGCTCACGTGGGAGCTATTGCCAGAAGGCTTCATAAAAATATTTTTCTTGATAAAAAAATAGATCTAAGGGGTGTAATTGTAAATCAACTTCTGGGAGGGTCATAGATTTCGATCTGAAGTCATCCATTGTTATGTGACCGGCTGAGAATCAATAGGAATAACTGGTCAACGTGAAGTTCAAGGTGCGGATCAACCGTCGTTGAAGTTGCAACATCAAAGAAAGGTGTGGAGCTTTTATCCAGAGCAAGATGCTCTGCTCAAATTGTCGTGCTCACTGGTGACTACGTCGAGCGCTAGCTCCACCTGGGGCATGTCACTATGCAAAGGGGTAAGTGAATTTTACAAACTATTTTTCACAAGACATATGTCTTGTAAACCGGATAGTTTGTAAAATTAAATTTTTATGGGGGTAATGTATAATTTTACAAACCATCACCCAAAAATATGGGTTGCGAAAAAAAGGGTTGCAAAATATGTGCCTTAAAATTGCAACCCATGCCCCATGGAGTAGAATTTTAAGGCACATATGTTGCAACCCTTATGTCTTGCAAACAATATGATTTGCAAAAGTACATTTTTGCCTTATTTCAAGGAATTTTGCAACCATTAGTTTGCAACCCATCTATGAGTTGTAAATTATGTTTTGCAAAACTGCACAACATGGTATGTAAAATTGAATTTTACAAACCATATTTTGCAACCCTTTCAAGCAATTTTGCAACCATTAGTTTGCAACCCATCTATGAGTTGTAAATTATGTTTTGCAAAATTGCACAACATGGTATATAAAATTGAATTTTACAAACCATATTTTGCAACCCTCCAAAAAAAAAGAAAAAAAAGAGGGAGACACTGGAATATGGAGGTACTGAACCGCCACTTTGGCCAAGAAAAAAAGAAAAAAAGAAAAGAAAAAAAAACAAAAAAAATCGGTCATTGCTGGGGGTTTTTAATCCCATCAATGACCGG